GCAACTCATCCACCAGCACCACTTGCAACCCCATTTACAATGCGGGAACGATCCTACAGTTGCAAATCACACTGGAATTCCTTCACGAACTCGTTCCCTAACGAAATCTTTCTTTGCTAACTCTTTCTTTGCTCTTTCTTTGTCTAACTCTTTCTTTGCTAACTCTTTCTTTGACTACCTCATATATCCTGACTAACTCTTTCTTTGACTAACTCTTTCCCTCACTAACTCTTTCTTTGACTAACCCTTTCCCTCACTAACTCTTTCTTTGACTAACTCTTTCCCTGACTAACTGTTTCTTTGACTAACTCTTTCTTTGACTAACTCTTTCCCTGACGAACTCTTTCTTTGCTAACTCTTTCTGTGACTAACTCTTTCCCTCACTAACTCTTTCTTTGACTAACTCTTTCCCTGACTAACTCTTTCTTTGACTAACTCTTTCTTTGACTAACTCTTTCCCTGACTAACTGTTTCTTTGATAACTCTTTCTTTGACTAACTGTTTCTGTGACTAACTCTTTCCCTCACTAACTCTTTCTTTGACTAACTCTTTCCCTGACTAACTGTTTCTTTTTCTTTGACTAACTCTTTCTTTGACTAACTCTTTCCCTCACTAACTCTTTCTTTGACTAACTCTTTCCCTGACTAACTTTGCTAACTCTTTCTTTGACTAACTTTTCCCTCACTATCTCTTTCTTTGACTAACTCTTTCCCTCACTAACTCTTTCTTTGACTAACTCTTTCCCTGACTAACTGTTTCTTTGACTAACTCTTTCTTTGACTAACTCTTTCCCTGACGAACTCTTTCTTTGCTAACTCTTTCTGTGACTAACCCTTTCCCTCACTAACTCTTTCTTTGACGAACTCTTTCCCTGACTAACTGTTTCTTTGCTAACTCTTTCTTTGACTAACTGTTTCTTTGACTAACTCTTTCTTTGACTAACTCTTTGCTAACTCTTTCTTTGACTAACTCTTTCCCTGACATTCTAAAAGTCCGTAACACGGAAGTTTCTCCCCTAAACTTCCTTTGATTACAGAGGGTATTGTAACATAGATCAAACCACTATCAAATGACAGCCGCCTGGAATGGAAGCTTCACGGTTTTTTTCTGTACAAAATGGTACTTCCTGGCCTTTCAGGATTCTGACACATGGACAGCATGGGTCTCCACAAACTGCTAACCCATTGGTTCTCCATACTATGGTCGTACAATTGTCTACCAAAGCAACCGTCGCATGACAAGATGGTCTTATGTATTGAAAATGCATCCCTAAACCCAACCGCTTCAACCCAAGATTTTAAGGGTCGCTTCACAAGTCGGGCTTCACCTCCCCAAAATAGAAATGCCAACGGCCGCAAAAAAATCAAGTTGGACATTTTGCCCGGTTTGGAATCCATGGCGCCTCCTTTGAAGCGCCATTCTGGCCCATTGCCTGCCCAAGCAATGCATGACTGCAAAACCAAATCGAAACATCGATATCGAACTCAAATCGCCTCAGGTCTGGAGCGGTCCGACACCTCATCAAGGCATCTCTCAATTTAAAGCCAGCCGATCAACTGCATTCAGCCCCCGGCAAAGGTGTCGGCACGGAGGCGGCGCTCAGAGCGTGCTTCTGCCTGACAAACAGGATCGAAAAGGCTGCGGCACTGCAATTCACTTCTGAACATGTTCGACATGCGGGCACGCGCGAAGACTTGAATGATAATGGTTGAATATCCAAAGTGTTTAACTTGAAGTGCTCAACTGCTCAACCCGAACAGCCCCTCCTCATTTGCCTCCTGGGCAAGTCGAACACCACCTGGACGGCACTGGGCAAGGCAACCCCTCCCCCGTGTCTCTCCCCCTTAGAGTCAGCCGGCCTCTTAATATCCAGCCGCCATTAGAGCGAACATACGACCCTTCCAGTCCGCCATCATGCATTGCGCCGGCAATGAGATTCCAGCGCAATTTCGTCAAAGTGATTGCTGTTTCACTTGTTTCACTTGTTTCACTTGTTCCTTGTTGGGTGCTGGCGCAATCTGTTTCCTTGTTTCACTTGGCGGTTGTTCTGTTCAACCCAATCTCATGGCATCGGTGTCACAGTGGAAATGCGAATGCTTTTTATCCACAAATCTTTCTTTGGTCTGGATCCAAATCTGGGCAGGGAAGCTGACCATGGCCTGAGGAGCTACGTTTGCATACATGTTTAAGTCAGCCGTGTCCCTCTCTCCATCCGCCAGTCACCATTTTTTTGCGGTCCGTTCCTTGGCAGCGTCTTGCCGCAAGCCACTTCGAGATCGCCTGGACGTCGCGATCAGCGGACATCTTGAGAGCCTGCTTCATCGAGAGGACATCGACGATTGGCGACACCATTCTCACACCGACGAAGTCATCCGAAGTCATGAGATCAGCTCGTAGGCATGGACGTGAGCGACAGCGAGTCCATCTGGGATTCCACCAAGTACTTGTCCATGCCGCTGGAAAAATATTCCATCTGAGTGCAAAAGAGCGAGCGCCTTTGCAACGCCAACGATTGCATCTGCAAACTTCTCATTCGACATCCAGTACTTGCAGTCCACCAAACTAGCGGTAGAAAGCTTCTGCATGAACAATAGCAATTCATACGGAGCATCTCTCCACAACGCTCGCCGCAATCTCTGCAAGCACTTCAAGCCTGAAAGCGGCAGATTTGGAGACTTCAAATAGAATAAATCGGTAACGAAATAAATCATTTTTTATATCTTAATCGCGGAACGGAAGATACAAGGATGCACAACTCACAAGGCAGTTTGGGAAACGTGGATACTTGCGGGGGGGGCCTGCCCAAGACTCGCCCGGCTCGAACCAAACCTCCACGTCAGACTTTCCATTCGCAAATATTTCGTACGAGTTGCACCACGCGGCTTCCATCCTGAGGTTCGTCAAGACAAAATTTGACATGAAACTTGAAAGCGGAACATCGCAGGATCAATCAAAGCCAAGTCGCCAATTCAGGCCCACTGCCATGTCGCACAAAGAAACAAGCTC